ACACACACACACACACACACACACACACACACACACACACACACACATAGACGCACGCACGCACACACGCGCCCACGCACACGCAAACGCACACACAAGAGAAGAGATAGATAATTTCTTATAAACTACGCTTAACTTAAAGTAAACAAACATTTATTTTTATAATACCAAGACCAAAACCAAGACCAAATGTACTGACGTGAGACCAAGACCAGAACTGGGTTAGTATCGTCTTGGTCTTGCATTGGGGAACACTAGTTACGGAAGCAGTTTTCAAACTCTTCCCTCCAGCGCAGCAGTGGCAGAGGCCTATAAACTCGTCAGAAAAACAGAAGTGCAGCCACGTTCGACGCAGGTGTTGACTCACCATTATCTACATATTTTAATTGCTTCAAATACAAATACAGTCTGTCATTACGTCTGTAATGAATCGTAACTTCAATAACAATACCGCACCTGTTCTTCGAGTGCCTAATGTAATAATAACAATAATACCGCCTCTCCCATTTGAAAATTCAAAATTAATCTTTAAGGCCTTGGGAGGGGCGAGAGTCTAAAATAGATATAATAATAATAATAAAGAACAAAAGTAAAGAAAGCCTTTACATAACCTTGCAAAAAGCTGTAATTTTAAATACATGCCGCGTCGTCAGAAAGTTCATGCAGATGGAAGAGGACGAAGTAGGATCTTTTTACACACCCACCACATACTCGTAGATACACGCTATACTGCATTTACTTGATTTAGGTCCGTAAATGTGGTTCAAACCAGCTAAGAAGCTGAGAAGACTAAAATAAATAATAATAATAATAATAATAATAATAATTTTTTAGGCCTTGGGAGAGGCGAGAGTTTCAAATAAATACGATAATAATAATAATATAAAAACAATTGTAACCTTAACATGTCATAATTGACACCAGGACATTTCATTATCGGTAGATCGCTCACTTCCTTGCCAAGCCAGGATTATTTAGATGTGTCAAACAATTGCTTGAATCGTTTCCAGCAAATTGCAAAGCTTGGACAACATTTTCGGTACAGATGGAGCAAAGAATATGCCTCAGAGCATCAACTGAAGACTAAATGGCGTACTTGTAAAGACACAAGACGCGAAGATGAACGCTCTAGCAGTTTTAAAGTAGGACAATCTACCACCGTTATAATGGAAATTGGGTCGAGTTGTAACTGTGTTTCCTGGCTCTGATGGCGTCAATAGTAAGAAAATGCTTTTCAAAAATTTGTCCCCTCCCTGAAGCCAGTATTACTGGAAAGGCTGTTAAAATAACTTGAGGCCAAGAACTGTGGAAGTTATGAGGCGTGACCGTGCAGAGAACAATGTTAGTCGTGCGGCTGAAATCAAATAGCGTCTTTGATGCTAATTTGTTTATTACCATTTGTTCCATACAAATGCTCACCAAATACAGTCAATATATATATCATCTTAGCAACGATCACTGTGTAAAATACAAGAAAATCTAAATTGTATTACGTAAAAGTGTTGAACGTGGCAGAGCGACAAAGAGAAGAGGAAGAGAGCGAACAGAGTGCCATAATCTAACATAGTCTAACAAAGGCAAGCCTTCAAGGGTCGGCGGAATGTTCACGCATGAAGACTTATTTTTATAAACAGCGCCTAAATTTTATAAGGAGCAATTATGTTAATAGTTGATTTTGCCATGCTCCAATTGAAGGTGTTTTTCTCTCATTATACTTTAAGCAGTGAGCACCGATTTTTATAATATCCTGTGTTAAGTCTCATATAGCGGCGAACTATACGAGATTGACGGAGTTGACGCCGGTTTTGCGCACTTTCCGGTAACCGATTTCAATAAAACTTGGCAAATAGATGTAATTACACGAACTTTTAAGGTCTGTTTTTTTAGTACTTTTTACTGAGATTACGTGACACATTTTAGTTCGTGTATAAAGCGTAGGTGAAATAGGACATTATCATTTAAATTTTTTCTACATGTGATTTCCAATCAATATGTGAATCAATTTCTATTCCTAGGAAACTATAACAATAAGGCACACACTCAACACAGCCCCGCACTAGGGAAACCCTGTGTCGCAGGTGCCATGGACACACACAGACAACCACAAATTACACCCAAACTCACGAGAGAAATAATTGTAGGCCATACAAATATTTCTCCCGCTCCAGGAACCGAACCTGGGACCTCTGCGTAACATTCCGGCATGGTAACCGCCACGGAGGCAGTTAGTAGGTACGCTGTTGCTGAATGTGAGCTTCTATCGGCCTCTAACAATTAGTTAACGCTCATACCATTAGAGGAAACAATGGCAGAAAAAGATTCCAGGCCGTACCTTGTAGCATTTTATATCTGTTATATCCCACTGGTGCCAGTCCTTATCAAAATTCAAAGCAGATCTATGCTTCTAGTGAGATATAGATATGGTGTAGGTGTTCATAATCCGTAAGTATACTGTCATAATTAGATGCTCCTCGTTAATAATAGAAGATTGATTTTATCACTACAGCTATTACTAAGTAGCTGTTAAGTGCGTACAATAATAATAATAATAATAACACACACACTCAACATAGCCCCGCACTAGGAAAACCCTGTGTCGCGGGTGCCATGGACACACATATAGATAACCACAATTTACACCCAAACTCACGAGAAAAACAAATTAGGTCATACAAATATTTCTCCCGACCCGGGAATCGAACCTGGGACCTCTGCGTGGCAGTCCGGCATGGTAACCGTTCGGCCACAGAGGCAGTTGAATACAGAGATAACTATCTAGAACTTTTCATTTATTTACGAGACGCAAACATTAACGCGAAATTGTACCTCGATACTTCATCACAGTAATGGCAGGAAAGTGGTTTTTATAATAAATTGTTATTTCTCATTAACTTGCGTTCATATTAAATTAGTCTTCGAAATGCCAGTATTATTTATAAAACTACATTTCAGTTGGTTGGTTGGTTAGGGAGAATAACATGAAAATCAATATGAAACTGCCAAGTTCAAGTGAATATCTATCAAAAGAAATACTAGAAAAGGATTTTATAAAAGTGTTTTCAACGTTCCATATGATACAAAAAATCATGGGCGTGAGCAGAATTGATGCTAGAGATCGCTTCGTTACGGCTCCTAGTATCCCTCAGAAAATCTACACCATAATATACTGTATTTTCATTATTTTCATCTTCTGCGTTATTTTCAAACTTAATTACTATACCCTAAATTCGAGATTGTATTATTTAGCTGTATCCGAGGCAATTTTAATAGTTTTTTGTTCTTTGTCTAACGCGATACACGCACGGTTTTTGAACAAGGATGACAACGTTGCATTTTATATTAAGATGCAGGAAATAGACAGATTAATGTACATAAATCACTGTAAGCCAATAAATACGACGTTGTTTAAAATACACATGTTCACAATTATATCTTTGGCAGGAGTGGCAATGTTACTGTTCATAATAATTCTCTGTATACGTAAAGAATTGGTTTTCGGACTACTTGCTCTGGTTATAACCTACGGCAATTTTATGCTTGAAATCGCATACGGTTCTAACCTTATAGTCTATTTCTATCTGAGAGTCCGGTTCATCAATGCAAGCATAGATAATCATATTCAGGCTCAGCCCATAAACGTTTACACAACACCGAATTCGGACTTAAAGTTTTTAGCTTCACAATCGTGTAATTTCAAAACAAGTGATACAGATGTTTATTTAAAGAGAATATTTGAATGTTTTTTAAAATATCAAGATCTGTACAGGTTCCAGGTAAACTTAAAGTAGATTGTATTACCTATATTACAAAAATGAATTCAATTCCTTCGATTTTAAGACAATTTAAAACCTTTTTTCAGGTATTCAACTTGTTCGCTGGTTTCATTGTATTTTGGGGACTTAGTGCGCAGATCGTGATCGATGGAATACAAACAAATGTAAGAAACATTTCCACAAATGGAATTTCATAGCAGTACTTTAAATAAAACTATATGTAACAAATATAACACGAAAATCCCTACATTTAGTTCTATCTCTTACCCTTGGATGACTTATTTGGACTTACCTGGATTAGCAGTACTTTGAAACGCTCAAGCTTTATAGTAGGGCGATAAACATACAAAATACATGATTTGATTTGGATGGTAAAAATACTATTCAACAAATCAGGTATTTTGTGTGGTTCTCGCCCATTTGTCAGGTGGCGTAATCAAGGCCTTCAGCGGGTGTAACTGCAAGATATCGTTTTAAAAATGTGTTTTTAATGCTATCTACTACTAGTAGCATTGACACTGAACGACACGTTTCAATCCTCATTCCGCTAGCTTCCGCTTCTGCACTAAACACTATGTTTTTACACCCGTGAAAAACCGTGTTGAAACCTTAGTATAGATTTTGGTATTTTTTTTCTACCCATGCAACTCGTCGAAATTTACATTTGGATCAATTGGCGTCTCAATTCATCTATCTACGCACCTTTCATGAAACATGTTCTTATTTCAGGTTCTTGGTTTGTTGGAGTGGTTAGTTATTTCAACAATGTGTCTAATTGCTTATTCCATGCTAATATTTCTGTGTGTCCGCCTACAAGTATTATATATGGATATAAAAGAAACTAAGAGGCTATGTGTATGTGTCATGTCAATATACTTTGATGGTAAGTTTTAAGATTTATATCACACGTTTTCAATTCAATTTAAATAGTGAAAAGCACATACCTAAGTTACATGACTTATTAATTAACTATCAATTTGATTCTTAATAATAAAAATTTGAATATGTGAGAAACTTTTCATGAGACTGCTGGTAAAAGTAATTACCGCCTTATAAGAACATAATGTAAGTGCCACATTACTTCTGAAACATAAATAGGTTGTCCTTAAAATTCTGCAACAGCGGCAGGTCTAAATAACTTGTCAAATTGTATACCACTGTTATTTGACTCTATCATATTTATCAAATAATTTTATCTCAGGACCAATAAGGGAAAAGGCTAAGAAAATGTACAAATTTATACAAGAGAACGCGTCACGCTTCTCCGTGTACGACATGTGGTACGTGGATGCGAGTATCATACTTAGGATTCTCGGTTTGATGACTAGTTTACTTGTCACTTTGTTGCAATTTGCATATTTGTAAATTTAGAAATAGTACTTTCAATAACTCACCGGAGCCTATACTACACAAAAAACAAGAGCACCCACTTTTAATTAATAAAATTAAACTTTTTAGAAGCAAACACCTGTAATGGTACCTACGCTTGTATTTTAGTAACACAACAATAAAATACATTAACGAATTTAAACTTCTAGTCCTAGTATTAATACTAGGACCAGAGATGGGGGTCCCCGCCCCGCAGGATGCCCAAATACAAAGAGATAACACTGCCAGTATCCAAGGCATCCTGCCTAGACATCGCACCCTTAGTGTAATAAGGCCACATCTGCAAAGGCATCCTTTCAGGTCAGAAGTTTAAAGATCCTACGAACGAAATTAGTCGATAACTTTTTATACATAATCTTTTTTTCTGGGTGTACCTGTAAATTTTATATTATACATACCCTGTGGCATCGTGCCCAGAAGGCTGGCAACATTTCCCCTTTGAATTGCTAAACTTATTCTTTGGCGGAAATAACTGCCAGTCTTCTGGTCACCGGAGGCTTCTACGAGACGATCCGACAGCTCGTTCGTTAGAAGTTTCGCCTGTGGCCCCGAGGGACCCAGAGCACTGAGCAATAAGATTGGTGTATTTGAACCTTTTGCGGTAAATAGAAGAGTTATATAATCTCAGTACAGTGTACAAAAAACCGACCTCAAAAGTTCGTGGAATTACATCTATTTGCCAAGTTTTATTGAAATCGGTAGCCGGAAAGTGTGCGAAACCGGAATCATCCCCTAGTTTGCCAATCTTAGAGAAAGAATATTTTCTTCAAATTTGTGTGTATGTCACGCGATGATGAGTATTTGTGAACCGATTTTGATGATTCTTTTTTTTCTTGGACAGAGGGTACCTCGGTATTGGTTCCATTTAAATTTGAAGAAAATATTTCACCTCCAAGGATGGCAAATAGGGGATGAATCCGGTTTCGCGCACTTTCCAGTAATCGATTTCAATAAAACTTGGCAAATAGATATCATTCCACGAACTTTTGGGATCGTATTTTTGTATAAAAAGTTATAATTATGACGTATTATCTAGCTTTATTATACCAAGGGTACATACAATATTTGCTAAGCCATACACAGTCACAGTCACCTTGCTCTAAGCATTAGTGGCAAGTTTTGCCCGCCCTTCAGTCTCCTGATATTCTTTGCCCGAGCGATCGAATAAGGAATTTAAATGGAGCTGGGTAGGACATATTGCGAAAAGTGGTGAAAACAGATAGAGTAAGGCGATAACGGAATGTTAGGCCAAGAAATTGTTGTAGAAACTTGGGACGTCCTGTAGCGAGATGAGTGAACGACATTGTCGTAAATGGGTGAGACTTGCAGAATCGTGGTGGATGCCACAAACTACGGGAGGTCTATACCCAGCAGTGGGTGAAGACGGGCTGTGGATGATGATGATGAATCTCCCGTGGTTTTAATTTTTTGGATACAATTTTAAAGAAAGAATGAACGTTGGATCCAAACGGATCATTATTTGTTTTTATCTTTAAGATAATAATATAACTCCTAATGAATGCAGTTAACGTTACGAGAAGCTCGAGGTGGACCCTATGTTTTGACACGCACCTTTGCATTCTTTTGTTAATGCAAGAGCTTATGATCTGAAATTATTCAAATGATTACAATTAGGTACCATATAAGTGTTCTGTCTTACTTAACGTGAAAGATGTTAATGCTGAAAAAATACTGTAATTTACTATAATCTGGTCAGCCTTTATTAGCAATATTTATATTTAAAATACCAACAATTCCGTAATAAGAACTGTAGATTATGAACGACGAACTGATGTGTAGCTACAGTATTGTTATTGTATAACTTTCTGCACAAAATGTTTCAGAAGATTAAATTTGAAAAATATGTATATTATATGGATAATATTGATAGGAAAGTCTATCTAATCTCACACATTCTCACGTTATGCACCTACTTATAATTATTAAAAAAAAATGTAAATAGAAGGAATGTGTTAAGCCGTACGTATAAACCGTATAATACATTGTACGTATAATACGTCTCTGTAACTCTATCATGAGCTTAAGCATGAAACACACAGAGCGCGTCTAATTCGCGTGCGTTGTATGTGGTGCGTCTAGTGTGTTGTCGTCCCTATGAATAAACGAAATTAGACCCGCTGCGCTCCCGACCCGACTCGCGCCCGACCCGCACCCGCTCTCTGTGTGTTTCTCACGCTTATGTGACAGTTGTAGCTCGCTAGCGATCGCGAACACGTTCGCTAGCGAGCGACAACACGACGCGACGCGACGACACTAGCACACCTCTAGTGATCCCAAGAAGAAGTAATATTCTACATATAAATTTTTTACGCGGTCGCTAGTGACAAATGTAACCGTAAGTTCATGGTAAAGGTAATGGTGGTATTAAAGGCCATGGTGCTTCATTTTAGTTTGGGCGTGATTTATAAATCGCATATTCGAGGCGACAACGGGTGATTTTTTACTTTGGCTCATCGTAGTCCACCGCCCTAGTGACGGACTTGACAATGTTGTAACAGTTATCGCGGAGGTCAGAGTTCAGATGACAAGCATTACTTTTGATTACGCTTCATCGTCATCTGAACCGGCCCTAATACTCCGTACCTATTACGGACTGACATTCGAACTTACGTAACTAGCATTTCAAAATTTGACCCTATTTTAGCTATGCATGTTCGAGCCGTACCAATATTTTTTTATGTTGAATTATACAAACTATAAGAAATATATATTAATAATTGATAACTGATTTTTATTGTGTATTATCCAAACTAATACAATGCGAAAGTAACTCTGTCTGTTACGTTTTCACGCTTAAACCGCTGAACCAAATTTGATACATTTTGGTATAGAGATCGATGGAACCTAGGAGAAGGACATGAGCTACTTTTTGTCAGAAAAATAAATCTTAAAAAGGGTGAAATAGAGGATGAGAGTTTGTATGGAAACCAATTATTTTTCAATTGTACCTATTGAAATTGGCAACTATTAAATACGCCGTGTGCATAGGCTGTCACTTGTATTGTTGTAATTATATTTGTGGTATTAAATAAATCATTATTATAGTATTATTATTATTTATTTAGTTCAATATTCCTAAAAGTTTAAAGGCCACATTGTTAATATTAACTCAAAAGAAGTTTTCAAGTTACCGCATAGATAGAGCTTACGTTTTTCGATTATGATTTGTTCGATTGTTTCATCGCTTATTCGACTATTTTTTATAGAAGAGAGGGATTAAGATGAAATAATTTATTAAATTTAAGCGTATGTTCGTAAATTGGCACCTAGAATTGTGAGATACATTACTCAGAGGTAGATAGACGGCATGAAGCTCCTGTCGCTACGGTACTCGAACTTCTTTCGCCTCCTCAACTCGCATCTTTCTTCATACATAAATATCCGTTCATTCTTGGTACTTGTCACCTTTCATAAATTTGAATGTTTGTGTGAGAATGAAGCAAAGTGAGCGGTGGGGAGAGGTTTCATTCCAATATTGCTTTCCTTTGACGACATTGAGACAAGGGCGAAAATAGATTGTTTTAATGACATGTTTATGTGGAGTCGTTGGTAGGGTGAAGTACTGCTGCCTATTATATCTAATAGTTATCTATATGCGAGTGAATGAAGTAGTCGAAGTAAATCCCGATATTCCTATAATTTGTGGCCAGAATTGATGTAAATGGATACCAAGTATAAATATAGTGGCAGTTGCAGTTCTAATATTAATTTATAGCCATTGAAGTTTGACTGAAGTACTACATTATAATGTTCATTCTTTTGTATGTTCGTGCATATGTATTGTCGGAAATCTCTTAATTACAGGAGTATACTAATATAAATATATGACATTTGTAAAATTTCTCAAATAATTAACAATAAATACAAATTTAAAAAAAATCACAATTAAAAAGTTTTTTTAGACATTGTATTCAGCGGGAGTTTATATAACACACTTGATCTCCTGAGAGCCACCACTCTTAAAAATCGGTTCGGCTCCCCTCTATTCTTTCCTCAATTATATTTGAAATAGAGCACCGCTGGAATGAATTTCTCCACATTGAGCTCTATAATTTCATTCAATTTGTCAATGGTACAATTGGTGGATAATTCCCCGATGGTGTCCCTAATATCGTCTGCTTAAAGGTAAAACCACATAAGTGACATTTTCCACAAAACATCTCCAAATTATGTACTAGTTGTAAAAAATTCACCATCTTTCTGCAGATAAAACTTGTTACCTTTATAGATTTTTTGTTATTAGTTTCACGTGCAGAAAGATAGTGATTTTCTTACCGTAGCTATATAAATTAAAGATTTTTTGTGGAAAATATCACTTATGTGCTTCTACCTTTAAACAGACGATATATGTTTTTTGACATAGGGAAAAGAAACAAAGTGTTTAAATTTTAATCGAGACGATGGCATTGTCTTGCCACACAGTTAGGGTAAAAATAATTCGTTAGAGGTAGGTATATAATGCCATTACATCTAATGAATTACCTTAGAATTTGGCTGATTTTTACTTTTCTGACGGAGCCATTTTAAATGTGAAATACGTTTTTGCAGTGTCATTTTCAGTTTGCAAAATATGCTGAGCATGAAGTTGAAGTATGTTATATTTTTTCACTGTGTAGTAAGTAATCTCACTGAGTTCTTGACGACATTAACTCACAATAATTGGGCGAAAAAGTGGGCACTTTTTCCGCTAAAGAATAGGCACTCTTTAAGCTGTACTCTTTTCGCACATTCTGCTGAAAAGTTTACAATCTGGTACTGGTACAATACGCAAGATGCGGGGTAAACATGCCTTGAAAGATCTTTAGATTTTCTGCTAACTGACGCAGACAAAGGGTTGTGTATAATTTGCGAAACAAAACACCACAGGTTTGTGGAATTCCCGACATTACTCAATTATCAGGTTGGTAACACTATATAAACACTAGTACACTAAGGTACACATGTAAGGTGTATGT